TTTCTGCTTCTGACACTATTTCTGACGATCACTGCAGCAGTAGTCAAACCACAGGTGAGAGGAGAGCAGTTGCCTGGATTTGGTAGTCAGAACCGGAATCTCTGGCATTTACTTTACTAGCTTTTACTGTATATAGTCCCCTTCAGCAGATTGCCCTCTTGTGTTAATGAAAACAGGGGATCTGAACACTGTGATCTTTCCCAGTTCAAATAGGACAGCCAGACCTGCTCTAGCAAGTAAGGAGAAAGAAGCAGGACTGAGGTTCTCTAGACTTGAATTCAGCAGGCCTGTGGGTCAAAAGTAGGCATTTTTGATGGAGAAAGATGAACAACGCCTTACATTCATGTCTTTGATGGGGCGAGAGATGTGAAGTCCGTACCCCAGTCCCACGGCAAAAGGCTATGATCATCCTCATTTTATGTAACAGGAAACTAAAGGTGGCTCATGCCTATGAAATGGCTATCCTAGCTGTGTGGTCAGCTGGGCTGGAAATGGACTGGAATCAGGCCACGTGCCTCCAATTCTTGCTAATAAAGAGACTTTACTGGGACGCATCTCTAGGGTGGTTAAGGCAGGTGGATAGTGGCCTTGAGTGTGAGAGCCTGATGTGGGGTCTGGGCTCTGGTTGGTTGGTTTGCATATGAAAGACAACTGACAGGTGACTCCTTTACTATCCCAAGGACCTCGCTAGCCCTAGGAAGGGTTAATTTACTAAGGCCCAATTTACTAATCTGTTGCATTATTAACATATGAGGGGGGTCAGGCTGTGCCATTTGTCACCCACTGCTTTCGCCCCAAACTCATGAAACTCATGAACTTCATGGTGTCTTCCTTCCTAACTCCTCCAGGTCATCCCCCCAGGGAGGAGTCCAACAGAACGGCCTTCCCAGACAGGAGAGAGCTGGGTCTGGGTCCAGGACACAGAAACGGTGATGCTTCCCTGATGTCCAACCACACACTCACGTATTCAACATTTGCTGAGGGCCAACTATGGGCTCACCAGGTGCTGGCTTCTGGGTAAAGGATACTTAGCATTGTGTGGAGATCTGGAAGTGAATCAGATAGAGACTCTGTCCTCAAAGAACTCAAAATATTGGGGGGAAGGCACATATAAAATTAAGTATATGTAGGTTAAAAATATCTTAATTAAGGTTATCTTAATTTGCCACAAAATGAAGAACAGATGAAATACTGTGAAATCTGAAGGCTAGGAACAATTATTTCTAGTTTGGGCCCATCAGCAAACTGGAGGCCTGAAAGAGAAGTAGAAAGCCTAGTTTGAAAAAACAGCTAGAACTGGGAACCAGCAGTTAGCGTAATGGCTATGTCGCTGGACTCCCACGTAGTCGACCGCGGTTCGTGTCCCGGACCCGGTGGCTTAAAACTCACGCCGGGCGCGTGTGCGTGTGTGCCCAAGATCCCGAGAGGAGAATGGAGGAGAAGGGATTGCGGCGTGACCATCCCCCCTGGGGGGGTGATTTCTCGCTTTCTGTCTCTATGTCTCTCTCTGTCTGTCTGGCGAGCGCACGCGCCCTACAGTGAAAATCTCTCCAAGGAAAAAAAAAAAAAAAACAGCTAGAACTAAAAAACAAACAAAACAAATGAACAAACAAACAAACAAAAAACTCCAACAACAACAAAAAAATTAGCACTTAAATATGCAAGGAGAGGGGCTCAGGATATATATATATATATATATGTATATATATATACATATATATATATATACATATATATATATATTTTTTTTTTCTCCTAAAAAATAAAACGGGGAC